CCTCCCTTGTGGCCTTCGTGCTGAGAGTTTTGTGCCCCTTCAATCCATTTTCCACACAGCAGCCAGAGGGATCCTTCAAAAGTACCAATGTCATCATGTCGCACCCCTGTTTAAAAGCCTGCGGTGGCTCACCAAGCCTTCAGAATCCAGCCCCAACCCCAAGGCCCTCCCAGACAGGGCACCAGGACCCACCTCGCAGCCTCATGTGCTGCAAAGTGCAAGCAGAGCAGTGCTTTCTGATTGCCACCTCTGGGCCCTTGCACACCCTGTCCCCTTGGCCTGGGAGGTCCTTCTCCTGCTTTGTCACCTGGCTGACACCACCCAGAATGCAAGACTCAACTCAGACCTGGGAGGGTACTTCCTCTGGGAAGGCTTGCTGCCCCCATAAGCTTGGTTTCAGACCCTTAAGCCTGTCTCCCTTCATCAGAGCTGCAAGAGTTGGGTGCTAGTCGGCAGCCCCCAGGGAGCACACAGGAGCACTCCCGGCTACGTGCCAGGACTGTGGGCGTCGGGGGTGGGGAGTGGGGTGCAAGCCCAACCTTACCTGTCTCTGAGGGCCCGTGGGATCCGACTCTCTCCGTCGAGGGCGGGGTCCGGAGTGCAGGGGCGAGTGGGAAGGGCTGCCGGGCGTGGGGGGCTGTGATGTCTCTGACCGGCCATCGGCCTGGTTCAGCTGGGGTGGCAGGGGCTGAGCCGGCATCAGCCGCAGGTCCTCCTCGGCCAGCGTGTGCATGCCGCGTCCCCGGGGCCGGACGGCGGGCTCCGGCCCTGGCCGCCGACGCTCCTCGCCCTCCTCGGGCAGCGGCCGCAGCTCCTCGGGCTCCTCGTCCGTGGTGCCCGACGTACTAGGCTCAGCCCCCGGGGGGAAGTCCTTCAGCTCTGTCTCCTTGTCAATGATGACCCACTCCTTGCTGTCGAAGTCCTCCTCCTCGGCCAGCGGCACCGAGCGGAAGGCATTGCTCAGGGCCTCCTGTTCCACGGAAGCTGACACGTCCATGCGGCCGCTAGCCTGCCGGTCGGCGTGCCCCGTGTCCACTGACAGCATCTGGGCCGGCTGCGAGGAACAGGCCTGGCGCGAGGGTGAGCCGGGCAGATCCATTCGTGACCTGCAAAGCCACCCAACATGGGGCTCAGTGCCCAGCCTCTCTGGACCCCCAAGGACCCCAAGGAGGTGGCAAGGTGGAAGCTGATGCCTGAGACCCCCTGACCACTGCACTTCTCCCACCCTGGGCCAGGCTCAGCCACTTCCTGGGTTGCCACCCTCCAACCTCAGTCCCTGCAAAGATCTCATTCATTCATTTAGTCATTCATTCAACACACAATTTTTTCTTTTTTGCTGTACGCGGGCCTCTCACTGCTGTGGCCTCTCCCGTTGCGGAGCACAGGCTCCGGACGCGCAGGCTCAGCGGCCATGGCTCACGGGCCCAGCTGCTCCGCGGCAAGTGGGATATTCCCGGACCAGGCACGAACCCGCGTCCCATGCATCAGCAGGCGGACTCTCAACCACTGCACCACGAGGGAAGCCCCAACACACATTTTTGAATGCCTACTGTGTTCCAGGAATCTAAACAGGCAAAAAGTAAAATCTGGCTCCTGTGCCCAAGGAACACTGTCCTCCAAACCACACCCAGGAAACTGGATCATCTGATCTTCCTAAAGGCAACTTGATGCTTGCCCAGCCAGGGCTCCCACCCCACGCGGGCTCTCTCCCGCTGCACCGAGGGCAAACACACCCACCTGGCCCTCGAGTTTGCTGATGGTTTTCTAGACTCTTTTACCACCACCCTTCAAGCCTACCTGGCTGGTTTCACCACCTCCAACAAACTCCAGTGACTCCCAGTCCAAGACAAAGTCCACATGCCTTAGTTTGGCATTCAAGGCCCCTGACGGCCAAAGGCCCCATTTCCCCCTTCCCCTAGCCAGACCCATCTCAAATTCACTTGCTTTTCCCCAAATTGCTCACACCTCTGTGCCTTTACGAATGCCACTCCCCACACACAGCCTGTCCTCCCACGCTTTGCTGTCCACCCCAGCTCGATGTCACCTCCTGCAGGGAGCTGTTCCCTCCTGCACTGATGGCGGGTGGGGGGCGGTTAGTTTGCCTTCCCAGTGCTGTGTCCCCTCTTGTCACAGAGAGGAGCATGTGTATGTTTACGAATCTGCCACCCCAGGAGACTGCAAGTTCTGCCAGGCAGGGGCTGGGTCCCTTCTGACTCTGTGTGTGTGTGTGTGTGTGTGTGTGTGTGTGTGGCGGGCCTCTCACTGTTGTGGCCTCTCCCATTGCGGAGCACAGGCTCCGGACACACAGGCTCAGCGGCCATGGCTCACGGGCCCAGCCGCTCCGCGGCACACGGGATCTTCCCGGACCGGGGCACGAACCCACGTCCCCTGCATCGACAGGCGGACTCTCAACCACTGTGCCACCAGGGAAGCCCGCTTCTGACTTTTGCTTCTGGGACCCTGATCCTACCTGGGGACATCTCTTTCATCGTTATCTTAACCTGTGCTGTGAATCTCACGTTACTTGCAGAGGTTCTCAACTGGGGAGTACCAGCCCCAAGGTGAGGGTATTCCTGGTTGTAGGATGCTATACAAGGAAGAACTGTCCTCTCCCAGATGCCAGGGTGCCCCCCTGAGAACCACGGAGGCCTCACTCACACTCAGGCTGTGGACAGGGGGCGGACTGCCATCCTCCCCCCTGCATCGAGCCTGTGAGGGGAGGGGTGGAAGATCAAAGCCTCCTGTGGGGCTTTCTCAACATCCTCGTACCCCAGCCTATGTGGGACCTGCCAACTCCAATCTGCACAACATTTTTATCAGTTTGTTCATAAGGCTTAAAATAAAACCCCCGGAGGGAGGTCACCCAGGTCTTACATTCATACTCCCATGTAAGTGGCTAATGTCACTTCCTTTCCCAAGAGCATGGTTTGTTTAAATAGATGTGAAGGAGAAAGGAAGCCAGAGGAAGAGAGGGGCCGAAGATTGTGGGGGGAGTGGGAATTGAAGAAAGCAGGGAGGTGGGACACCCTGATCTCACCAACTTCATATGTTCTCCTGCTCCCAAGTGCCCCAGAGCACCCCAAAGCCTTTTGCCCTGCCTGAGATCCTGAACCTTCCAGAAAATCTCTCCTCAGCCCTCTCCTTTCCCCAGCATCCCTGAAACAAGGGTTCAGTCTGAGCCAAACCAATGTGCTCTTCAGGACTGTCTTTGCTCAGGGCATTTCCCACCTCCCTTCTCCACTCGTATCCCTTCCAAACTGCCCCTCCTGACTACTCCCTGTTTCCTGAACCCTCTGGGCGACCATGGATGAAAATGTGGTCTTCTGTCCCGGGTAGTTCAACCTGTGAGAGTGTGAGTGTGGTGAGGGTGTGTGTGTATGAGTGTGTGAGTGTGGTGGACGTGTGAAAGTATGTGTGAGTGTGCGTGTGAGTTAGTGTGTGTGTGTGTATGAGTGTGGGTGTGAGTATGAGCGTGGTGTGTGGATGTGTGTGTGTTTGTGAGGGCTGTCGGCTCCCTCGGGACAGGGCCTGCGTCTCTTTGTCCTGGGGTCGCCACAGGGATTGGCACAGGGCTGCCCTGACTCGGGCGTCTCCACACCCCAGAGGGGCACTGTGCCCATCCCAGAGGGGTTGTGCAGTTCGGGGCAGAGTCCAGAGGGGGGTTCCTGGCTGAGGTGGGACATGAGGAGGCAGGGACCTCCTACCCCAGGGCTGGGCCCCAGGAAGAGACCTCTTTCCTGGTGCAGAGAAGGCCTCAGCCTTGCTGTGAGGTAAAGCCGCACCCAGAGCCAAGGGAGGTGGGGTCATGTCTCCCACCCGAGGTTGTCTCACCCATCAGATCTAAGGTGAGGATGGGGCCCTGGTCCCTAGCAGCCATCAACCACCCAAGGTCAACCAGCCGCCCTCTCATCCCCCATCCTAAAGGCTCACCTTGACTCTAAACTCTCCAACACTCCCACCCACCGACCAGGTCCCTCCCTGACATTCAGATCCCTGAGGCCTGACCCCCAAAACTTGGTCTGTCTTCTCCTCAGGCACTCCCCGAACCCTTCTCCAGGCCCCTCCCCCAGAGCTGAAGGGAGCCTCACCAACTGCTCTGAGGCATCTGTGATTAGTCCCCAGG